GCCTGGAGGTTTCGAGGTGACTCAGTGGGCCGGAGAAACTGGGTCAGCCCAGTCTGCGCCAGGCGAGGCCCGGAAGGGGGTCCCTTCCCGGAGGAGGATGTGGAAAGGTGGCCCGGTGACAGTCCCAACACAGATCCCTCCAGTGCGGGTTGTGGGAGGTCGCACGGGGACAGAGGCCTGCGTTGCGGTCGTGGGGACGTGTTCCCTCCTCAGTCCCCTTCCCCACTCCTTGTGTTTGCTGGCCCTTCTCTCTGCCATCTTGCCCACTTCCAGAAGGGAGTGTCCCCTCTTGTCCAGCCCTGAGAGGGCTCTCCCAGAGTTGCATTTTTGGGATAACTCGACCTTTCTGGGCCTGGTTTCTGGCCAGCTCCCCCATTCCTCCCTGCAGCCCGTGGCTGAGCGAGGCAGGCCCAGCCCTTCCCAGGGCGAGCCTGTGGGAAGCAATCTGGGCTGCCCCATGCCCCTTGGCCACGCCCCAATAGGCACGCCCACCCCAGCCCCAGAGCCCCACCTTGGGGGCAGGCAGATGGTCCAGGGCGCCTTCCACAGGGTGGGTACTGTCTGCCCCCACTGCTGCCTCCCAGGCTGGGGAGCCCCACGGGGTATTTTTAGACAGGGTGGAGAGAGGGGTGGAGAGGGGCTGGTGGGAAGGGAGGAGCAATGGGGCTGGTTCTGTCATCAGAGAGGAATTTGGAGAATTTGGCCGTTCTGGGGAGGCCATGGGGCTGGGGGGCAGAGTGTCTGGATTTGGGGGTCCGTGGTGCAGAACAGAGCCCCCCACCCCAAGGCTCTTACAGGATGGAGAGACACTGGGAACTGGTGACATGTGGGTGACAGGCACAAGGACATGGTGACATGCTCAGTGACACATCTTGACACAGGCTGCCAGTGTAGGAGGCACATTTGTGGCTGTGCGTGCTGCTTTCCTGTCCTTCCTGGTCTTTCACCAGAGAAGGGAAGGAACTTGTCTAGGGTAAAGACAGAGCAAGGGCAGGACATCCACCTGGGGCGGGCTCCTTCACATGCCCCTACAAATCCATGCACTAGAGCATTGGAGCTGGTCACACAGGCAGGAAGCACCACGGGGGCTGGGAGGATGGGGTGCCCAGCCAGAACAGGCCCTACCCGGCCACCTTCCTGCTGACCTGCACCACAGCCACCCAGTCTGTCTGCAAGGAAGCGTGTGAGGGTGCTTAGTGCTGCTCGGCCCTCCTTCCTCCTACCTTGCAGCCCCTCACGCACCCTTTCCCTGAAGAGCAGCCCCTCTAGGGCCTGGAGGTGGTGGGATGTAGCTGGGACTCCCTAGTCACCTTTGCCTGCCCTGTGCATGCAGCTTGGAGTGAAGAGAGTGGGGAACAGAAGAGCAGGGTTTTGGGGAGGGTCCTGGAGTGGCCTCCCGGTGGGGTAGCGTCTCCAGCCTTTGGCTCCACCCTTTGCCCACTCCTCATTTTTTCTCTCACTCCAATCTAGGTCGAAATGAGTTGATTGCACGCTATATTAAACTGAGGACGGGGAAGACTCGGACGAGAAAACAGGTAGAGAGACGGTTTACGCCGGGCCCGCCACCCACACACTTTGTCTCAGCTGTCCTGGTCAACCCCTTGCCCCCTACCCTGCCCACCTCCTCAAGGCTGCCCCTGGCCTGGCCTACCACCCTCCTGGCCTCATCATGCTCCCCTTACCCCTCGACTTCACCCCCTCCCACCCCTAAGCAGTCCATTCACCCTTCCCACTTCTCTTGGAGAGATGGACCCACTACCCGGCCCAGGGCTTTGGTCAGGGACCACAGATAAGCCCATAGGGCTTTGTGGCTGCTACATGGTCCCTGCCTTGAGTGGCTCGCTGACCAGCCAGGGAGCCAGATGGTCAGACGGACTGGTACAGAGCAGGGTGGCATGGCTGAGAGAGGGTGGGTGCAGGGCACTGTGGGATAAGCAGCTAAACCTGACAGGGCTGGGGGAGGGGGGAGACAGAACTGGGAAGGCTTCCTGGAGGAGGTGACACTCGGGATGTATTTTTAAGAAGGAGTGGGAGTTAGCCAGACAGAGAAAAGGGAGAGGGCCCTTCCTTCCAGGGTGAGGAAGTTGGATATACAACTAATAATCATGGTAAACCCATACAGCGCTTCCTTTAAGTTAATTTATTTAATCCTCTCAGCAACCATATTAGATAGGTACAGTAATTATCTCTTTTTTTTACGATGAGGAAACTGATGCATAGGGAAGTTAAGTAACTTCCTCGAGGCCCCCAGTCAGGAAAGAGCTGTGCTGGTGGGCAGGGTGGTGTGGCGGAGGGAGGGTGGGGACTGCTGGGCTAGGGCACACTCCGCAGAGACATGGGCGACAAGTTCCCCAAGGGGCAGCGCTAGGCCACGGGAGGGTATGGAGCGGGGAGTGGCAGGTGGCAGCTGCTGAGGAACACAGGCCCTCAAGCAGCCTGGTCGATAGATTCGAGAGGGCTGGGTGGAGACAGGGAGGCTGGCCCTCAGGGGCACCAGCAAAGGCCTAGATCAACAGTGCCAGCGTCTGGGCTGAGGGTAGTGGTGGTGGAAATGGAGAAAAATGACGATGTAAGAGACAATTGTGGCTTCTGGTCCAGGGAAGGTGGCAGTGTGGTGACAGACAGAAACATGAAGGGAATGGATTGGAGTGACGGCCCCACTGTCCTCTCTGACCACTCACTGCCCTTTGGGGTGCTGGCGAGAGAGGCCAGGCTGGAGGCAGGACCTGGAGGAGTGGAGGCCAGTGCTGCCCTCCACGCTCCCAGCCTCCTGTCCTGATGGGATATGGACCCACAGATCCCCATGACAAGTCCGCCCTGTTCTACCTCCTTCTCAAAGGAAGGTTCTGAGCCTCCCTACCCAGTGTAGTGGCGGCAATGATCCCTCATTCATTGAAGCGTTTATGAACCACCCTCCCTAAGCCCAGCTCATGTAGTACTGAATTTATTCATTTAGCAAATGACTGACCTGCTGCTATGTTCTAGGCACCAGGGATACCACATGGAGCCCACAGGGCCCGGTTCCCTGGAACCCTTGGGTTCAAATATGGTTCTTCCTGGGAGTGGGGAGTAGTGGGCTTCCCAGCCTTGCATCCTCGGCCATTGAATTTGTTAACATATGAAGACTCTTAGAACAGTGTAAGTGCTGCAGAAGAATTTGCTGTTATTATTATTATGGTCATTATTATAAACAGAAAGCTGTTCTGAGCTTAGAAGCAAACTCTCAGCGGGTCCTCCTCTACCCAGAAGAGGTGTTCATAGGAAGCTGTTAGTCAGAGTGTGAAGGGGCTGAGCGTCATTAAGCTAAGTCACTTTTTTTTAAATTAAAAGAATTTTTTAAGTTAATATAGAGATGGGGTCTCGCTGTGTTGGCCATGTTGTTCTTGAACTCTTGGCCTCAAGTGGTCCTCCCGCCTCAGCCTCCCAACGTGCTAGGAATATAGGCAGGAGTCACCGCATCCAGCCAAGCTGGGTCCCTTTGAACTGAGGCCAGGGTGGGCTGCAGAGGTGGGGCACATCCCAGCCTCTGAACTCAGGGTCCCCCATCACACCTGCTTCTGCCCAGCATCTTGAGAGGGCTGCCCAGAAAATGAGCTTTTACAAACCAGCTGTTGACAAGCTCAGAATTTTGGAAACCACTGCTTTTATCGTAACAGCATAAGGTACAAGGATGGAACTCCCCCTGTCTTTACTCTCTTAGAACTCTGGGTTTTTAGATCCCAGCGTAAGGGGACCTGTCCTCTGGTTCTGAGGACAAGCCATGTCTTTATGTGTTACAAAGAGCAACCACTGACATGGTTTCTTTTTTTGGTTCTTTTAAAATTTGCTTTTTTTTTTTTTTTTTCCCCAAGGGTTTTTTTGTGGGGGGAAAAAATTTACTTTTTTCTTGTAATCCCAGTACTTTGAGAGGCCTAGGTGGGTGGGTTATTTGGGATAGGAGTTCGAGACCAGCCTGGCCAACACGGTGAAACCCCATCTCTACAAAAAAATACAAAAAGTTGGGCACAGTGGCGTGCACTTGTAATCCCAGCTACTTGGGAGGCTGAGGCAGGAGAATCGTTAGAACCCAGCAGGCAGAGGTTGCAATGAGCCAAGATCGTGTCACTGCAGCCTGGGCAACAGAGCGAGGCTCTGTCTCAAAAAAAAAAAAAAAAAAAAAGGCCGGGCGCGGTGGCTCACGCCTGTAATCCCAGCACTTTGAGAGGCCGAGGCGGGTGGATCACAAGGTCAAGCGATCAAGACCATCCTGGTCAACATGGTGAAACCCCGCCTCTACTAAAAATACAAAAAATCAGCTGGGCATGGTGGCGCGTGCCTGTAATCCCAGCTACTCAGGAGGCAGAGGCAGGAGAATTGCCTGAACCCAGGAGGCGGAGGTTGCGGTGAGCCGAGATCGCGCCATTGCACTCCAGCCTGGGTAACGAGCAAAACTCCGTCTAAAAAAAAAAAAATTACTTTTGGCAAAGAAATGCAGTTTTAGGTTTTTATAGATACATACATGTAGCAATTCATGGCAAGCACAGTGCCTCCATATGGACAAAAGAGCTAAATATTAAGTTAGGATTTTCAGCTGTCACAGAATTGGCCATTTGGAGGCAATCTTCTGGGCTCTGGGTCCAAGTGAGTCCTGGTAGTATAGCTTGGTGGTAAAGTAAGTAGGCTCTGGAGTGAGACCGCCTGGGTTTGAATCCCGGCTGTAGCACCCCGCCGTGTGACCTTCGATAAGTTCCTTAACCTCTCCAGGCTTTAGCTTTGTCAACCTAAGTCAGGGATATTCGTACTTTTGTTGTTGTTTTTGAAACAGAGTCTTGCTCTGTTGCCCAGGCTGGAGTGCAATAGCACGATCTCGGATCACTGCAACCTCTGCCTCTGCAGTTAAAGCAATTCTTCTGCCTCAGCCTCCCAAGTAGCTGGGATTACAGGCACGCACCACCACGCCCGGCTAATTTTTGTACTTTAGAGACACAGGGTTTCACCATGTTGGTCAGGCTGGTCTTGAACCCCTGACCTCAGGTGATCCACCTGCCTTGGCCTCCCAAAGTGCTGGGATTACAGGCGTGAGACACCACGCCCGGCCTTAGTACCTGTTTTTATGTTGCTGTAAACATCAAGGGCCAGTATGTGTAAATGCAGAGGACAATAGTATCCCTGCTCAGTAAACATCAGTTACTGTCACAGCGTGAAGTGATCAGTAATTTTTCTGGATAGGAGTCTGATTCCTGGGCTCAGTGAGGCAGTGTGAAGAGCACCCACCCGGGTCCTAGACAGGTGGCATCACATATATACTCACTGTCAGGCTATGATTAAAAAGAAAAAGGAGCTTTCTTTGTGGGGATAAAAACAACTTGCAAAGAAAGCCAATTGCCGATGCTGAAAGTGTGGAGCGGCCTCAAGGCTCTGTGTGTTTCCCGGGGAAAACAGTGGCATTTGGGTTCTCTGCGCCTCTGGGTCAGATCTTTGACAAGGTCAAGGGTCTGTTGAGTCAGCTGGGCACACAGCCCAGGGCACACACATCCAGACCGTGATTAGCGCAAGTTTGCCAACAGAGACTTCAAGGAGGAGATTGCCAGAGAAGTGCAATTAAGAGCACCTACTGAGTACATATATACACACTGGCATATAGTAGCCCAAGCAGATAGAAGGTGTATTGGGGGAAAAAGTTATGGGAGCAAAGCAGGAGGAGGGCCAGGCCTGGTTGCATAGGCTGGGGCTGTGGTTGGGGGTGATAGGAGGACTCAGGAAGTGGTGCTGGGGAGATCCGTGGTGGAGGATGTGGCCTTGGTGTATAAGCTAATAGCCAGCAGGAGCACCATGGCAATTGCTAGCCCCTGTGGTGCCAATTAGAAAAAGATGTCTCCTCTGAGGACACCAGTGAGAAAAAGTCACCCTTTTTGGTGGGAGGACAGCGTCAGGCACAGCCTTGTACAAGGACACATAGCTGGGCAGCAGAACTTGGGCTGGATTTCAGCCCTCACTGGTGCCCTTTGGCCATTGAACAACCTGTGCACCTGTACATGGTGGCCCTGGAAGCCACTGTGCTCTTATCATGACAAGTCCAAGAAGAGAGCAGAATCGGCAGTGTTCAAGAAGTGTCTGAACCGGGCACAATGGCACATGCCCATAGTCGTAGCTACTCAGGAGGCTGTGGCGCGAGGATCATTTGAGACCAGCCCGGGCAACATAAACCCTGTCTCAAAAAGAAAACAGTTCCCCCCACTTACATGTAGTCCCCTAGACATGAGGGGCTGGGATGTCCCTTGCCCACGGCCACCCCACGGCTGTTCCTCCTCACTGTCTGTGTTTTCCTCTCTGGCGGGGCGCGGGGCGGCCCCTAGGTGTCCAGCCACATACAGGTTCTAGCTCGGAAGAAGGTGCGGGAGTACCAGGTTGGCATCAAGGTATGTTGGGTGCCTGATGGGGGCCATCAGCCCTCCTGGCCCCTCACCTGCGGCGCTATCTCTGCATAGCTCAGGCCTCTCCTTGGCCCACTCTCCAGCCCCACTGTGCCTCTTTTCTGGCTGAAGCTCTGTTCCTGCCTCTCCTTCCGCTCTTTCTGTTCTTTTTCTTTCTTTCTTTTTCTCTCTACAGGTCTCTAGCCACTTGCAGGTTCTAGCCAGGCGGAAATCTCGGGAGATTCAGTCCAAGCTGAAGGTATGGGGTCCCCACCACCCAGCCTGGCCTGCCCAGCACCCTCCCAGGTGCAGGCCTGTCGCTGCTCTGTGGTTCCAGCCTGGGACAGGCAGGGGACTGAGAAGCTGTGAGGGGGTCCAGAAAGAAACACAAGTGGCAGCAGGAAGCCCAAGGCCCTGCCAGGCTGCATAGGGCCACAACCCCTGGAGACTGAACAAGAGCCCCCAGCCCTATAGTGAGGGAGAAGGAGACCATCTAGGGGCTACTGAGGCCCACCTCTCCTCTTCTCTGTTTTTCTTCTTCTCCTTCCTCCTGACTGCTGCTTACTAACTGCATGGGGACTTCAGTGGGCAGGGAGGAGGCCCTGGGGTACTGGCCAGTGGGGCTATAGAGGTGGGCATGGCAGTTCCTTGCAGATCTGGCTGTCCTGCAGCTGCGGATCTCAGACTGTGGGGTTCATGACCAAGGCCCTTCTCAGGGCCTCATGCTGGCCGTGTTCTCTTCTCCCTGCCCACAGCTGTGCATTGGACGGGGCCTCTCACCCCCAGGCCCCCATGCCCAGAACCCAGGGGATGCCAGCTTGTTCTCCCTCACTCTGCCCTTTCCAGGGCTTGCCCCAGCTGGCAAGCACTCCCTCTGGGGGGACAGGGAGGGTCCGCTGAGCTTCCTTGGGCTCCTCGGAAGCTAAAACCCATGGGCACTGGGTGGAGGTAAGCACCCCACAGCCCTGGTGCTGCGCACGTCCTCTAATCCATCTTCCCTCTCTCCCTCACAGGCCATGAACCTGGTAAGTAGCGTGGCCCTCCCCGGTGGGAGGAGGGGAAAGGGTCTTAGCACCTAACACAGGATTTTCAAATGATAGATTATGAAACCAGTTTAATAGGTGCACAAGCCTCCTTTAAAAAAAAAAAAAAAAAAAAAAGGTGAAATACAGCCAGGCGCGGTGGCTCACGCCTGTAATTGCAGCACTTTGGGAGGCTGAAGAGGGCGGATCACAAGGTCAAGAAATCGAGACCATTCTGGCCAACATGGTGAAACCCCCGTCTCTACTAAAAATATAAAAATTAGCTGGGTGTGGTGGCGTGCGCCTGTAGTCCCAGCTACTTGGGAGGCTGAGGCAGGAGAATTGCTTGAACCCGGGAGGCGGAGGTTGCAGTGAGCCAAGATCACGCCATTGCACTCTAGCCTGGTGCCTGGCGACAGAGTGAAACTCTGTCTAAAATTTAAAAAAAAAAAAAAAAAAAAAGAAAAGAAAAGATATACAGTGGTTCTCAAAAAACCTTAGAGTACATCAGAATTACCTGGAGGGCTTGTTAAAGCAAATTTCTGGGCCTCACCTCAGAGTTTCTGATTCAGTGGGTCTGGGCAGGGGCCAGAAAATATACATTTCTGGTTGGGCACAGTGTCTCAGGCCTGTAATCCCAGCACTTTGGGAGGCCAAGGTGGAGAGATCCATCATGCCCAGGAGTTTGGGAGCAGCCTGAGCAATGTAGCAAGAACCCATCTCTACAAATAAAATTTTTTTTTAAATAAAAATGTACATTTCTAACGTGCTTCCAGGTGATGCTGGTATGTTAGTCCAGGGACCGTATTTTGAGAACCACTGATGACACAGAAAATAGGAGAGTACTGGACATGTTAGTAAGAGGAAATATCTTGATATATATTGGCCTTTGGAATAAAATAAAATAATTTCTTACCATGGATTGTGGTCAGAGGTGAGGGGCACTTGGGGGACTGAGGCCAAGAAGGTGCAGAGATTCTCCCAAGACCACACAGCAGAGCTGGGGCTGGAATCCAGGCCTGGACCTTGAGGAACATCTGTCATCCTAGTGCTTTGGACTCTGCCCAGGTTCTGGGAGGGGGCCCTAAAGCAAGCCCTGACCCCATCCGGCCTGGCCCTGGCCTCATGCAGCCCCCTCTCCCCAGGACCAGGTCTCCAAGGACAAAGCCCTTCAGAGCATGGCATCCATGTCCTCTGCCCAGATCGTCTCTGCCAGTGTCCTGCAAAACAAGTTCAGCCCACCCTCCCCTCTGCCCCAGGCCGTCTTCTCCACTTCCTCTCGGGTACATGGGTCACAGGCGGTGGGCTGGTGTCAGGGTGTGTCATAAAGGATGGGCTTTCAAGGGGTTCGTGGATGCTGAGGGGCCGCTGGGCCTTGTCTCATCCCTGCAGTTCTGGAGCAGCCCCCCTCTCCTGGGACAGCAGCCTGGACCTTCTCAGGAGTGAGTATTGGACTCAACATCCCATGCCCTGTTCCTCCTGGTAGCCACACGATGCTTCCATCCCATTTGAGCTCCAGCAACAGCTGAGCAAAGTTTTAATTCGAAAATAGAGAGATGCAGGCTGGGTGGTGGCTCACACCTGTCATCAATCCTAGCACTTTGGGAGCCCGAGGTGGGAGGATCACTTGAGGCCAGGAGTTCAAGATCACCCTGGGCAAAATGGCAAGATCTGCTCTCTCAAAAAAAAAAAAAAAAAAAAATTAGCTGGGCGTGGTGGTGCGTGCCTGGGTAGTCTTAGCTACTTGGGAGGCTGAGGCAGGCTAAGATTGCTTGAGCTCAGGAGTTCAGAGTTCCAGGCTGTAGTGAGCTTTGATTGCACCACTGCCACTCCAGCCTAGGCAACAGAGGGAGACCCTGTCTCTAAAAAACAAACAAAATAGAGGGCTGGAGAGTGCAGCAGGAGAGCTGATGTGCTGGCTGCTCACCTGTGCGTTCTCTCATTAGCATGCATCCACTTGTCACCTGTCCCTTCATTTACTTTTCACTCAGTTTCTGAGGCAGCCTCACAGTTAATCAGTCAGGTGGTCAAGTGTGCTGACTCTTAAAACAACTTTCATCAAAAGACACACCCTCAGCATAAGGACCAGCTTTTCAGGGTTGGAGGGTTTGAAATGCTACATTAAACGCTCAGATCAGCTGGGAGACGTGGTAGGATTTCACTAAAGTTAAATGTGGAAAAAAAAACAAGAAGCTTGTGAGTTTGCTTTTTAGCCTGCATTTCTAGGCCTCAGCAGAAAGGCTGGGTGACTTCCTATAGGGTCCTGGAAGAGGGTCTGGGCCAGGTGGAAGGTGGGGAAGAGGGAGCCCTCTCACCAGGCTGTGCTTTTGTCTGCAGCATCAAGCCATTTGCACAGCCAGCCTACCCCATCCAGCCGCCCCTGCCGCCAACGCTCAGCAGTAAGTTTCCCACGTGAAGTGCTCTCCCTTGGCACCTGCACCTCTGCACAGAGCTGGGGCCTATGTGTGTTTGCTTTGGGAGGGAGACGGTGGTGACATCTGTAGGAGATTGGGACAGGCCAGGAATAGCCCCCTTACCTTGTACAATGTTGCTTCCAGATCTCTGGCACAAAACCATAGCCAAGGTGGGCGTGGTAGCTCACGCCTGTAATCCCAGCACTTTGGGAGGCTGAGGCAGGTGGATCACTTGAGGTCAGCAGTTCGAGACCAGCCTGGCCAACATGGTGAAACCCCATCTCTACCAAATACAAAAAATTAGCTCGTGGTGGCACAGGGCTGTAATCCCAGCTACTTGGGAGCCTGAGGCAGGAGAAGCGCTTAAACCTAGGAGGTGGAGGTTGCAGTAAGCCGAGATTGTGCCATTGCACTCCAGCCTGGGCAACAAGAGTGAAACTCCGTCTCAAGAAAAAAAAAAAAAAAAACTGATAGCCAGTACACAGCCACAAGTACACACCTCCAAAATCTATGTTTATACACATCCCTGTAAGGACCACAAGTACACACCTCCAAAACCTACATTTATAC